CACCACAGTTTGTACTGTAATATTCTTTATTTTACATGTATCTACTTATCGAAAAGCATTTGCAGCTCAGAATAATTTACATAATGTAACTCTTCATCATATTGCAATTTGATTTTGTATTACAATCTAAATACATGTATTTAGGAAATTAAAATTTGGTTTATAGCGAGGAATTTTAGTCCCACTAAAAAATTTTGTGAGTCCATGAAATAGGAGGAGTTTGAAAAGTAAGTAATTAATTGGCTGTAACTCATCACCTTTGGTTAACTCATTCACATATTTGTTCCAGATCTCTTTATTATCTCGTACATTAAGACATAATTCGTATTTTTGGAAGCCCGTGAGAGTTATTTTACTTTTTGTTGGCATTTTTAAATAGATAATAGAAATGAGAACAAGAACTGAAACAAAATTACAAAACAGAAAAAGAAAATAGATCTGAATAATGAGTTAAAGTTAAATGAAGGATTAAAGAATCGGACTAGATAAAAGAATTTACGTATCATTAGCTAAAGTAAGTAAATAAATGACTTGGTTAACTTATGGTCATTGCAAAGGACCAAGATCTAGTTATTTGCAACAATCGAGTATAATGGCAACAACTAGAATAATGACACCCAATAAACAAAATCTCGACAGTTCATAAACCCGGCAATTAAATAGCATAGTCCAGCATGTGATCTGTGTCCAATAATAGTGCTCAAATTTTTATCAAACCCGGCAAACCAAATCCAACACAAGATAGAAAGCTCAATGCCTAAATCTGTCTTGGAATACTAATTAAAAATGTCGGGATGGCAATTTTACATATAATCTTATCCTCTGTCCTAACCGTTGCCCTTATCATGACCTTACGAATCATTAAAATCATTAATAAGATGCATCCAGGATGTTGAATTGTCAGAATCATAAACTGTAGGGGTGTCGAGATTATGAACTGTCAGGACGTTGAATTGTTAAGATTTTGTTTATCAGGCTATTGGATGTTAGGATTTTGGATGTCGAGCTAATGGACGGTTCCTATCAGAACAATGGCAATGACCGGATGAATTGATTAATTTGGAACAGTATATTCGTAATTCTTACAAATCACATGAAGTGCACACTTTGAATATGCTAGTCGGATAAATACTAACTAGTAAGTAAAATATTGCTAGTATAAAATTATGCGGAAAGAAATCTCAATCCTGTTGAGAAATAAAGGAAAAAAAGAACATACCTGGAAAAAATTTCGATACATTAATAAAAAGAAAAGAAAAAAAGCGTGTTGTTCGCATATATGATATATTCTCGGCATAATAATGAAAAAATATAATATGATTCACAGATGATTCTATTACATGTAAAATCATTGTCACGAGTTATTGGTATTGTTGTTATTTAGTAGTAATAGCAATAATTGTTGTTATTGTTGTTAATTTATTTATTATTGCAAGAGAGAAGAGACCATCCAAAAATGAAAGATTAATCAGAGTCTTCTCCTGCATTCTTCTTACAAGAGATTCGCAAAGATGTATCAAAGAATTCCTCTATATTGCAAAAATGCATCCTAAAAAGTAAATTCTTCATTTTCAAATACTTTCCTCTCATTTCTTTCCCTTCTAGATATGATTTTGATTAATTTTTCTGATTCTTTCAGATGAGACTTACAGACCAATTATTAGGTCATTCCAACTCCGTCAACTACACGCGAAAAGTAACCACCTCCTGCTGTCGAATTGATGTTAGCAGCGCACATCTCAGTATTTACAGCAACTTTAGTTGTTCCAGCAGCAGCAGCATTACCAATCCTAGTACACGTGTTGTTATAATCCATACCGGCTCCGATCGATGGACGTGTACCATGTAATGAAGATTGAAGACATTCAATTGGGGCACCAAACCTACCAACAACACTCAAACCGGGGGGAGCAACCATAACAGGGGCCGAATCAAAAGATCCACCAGATTAACAGCGATACCTTCTTCTACCTTTTTAGCAGAAATTTGAAGATTATTGCTGTTATTGGTGTTGTTATTATGAGATCTAAGAAAAGGGAAGGCAAAACCATCGATTCCATTTATTATGTTCATGCCTTGCTGAGCTTGAACAGATCCGTAGTGTAACTGGGCGAATTTCGTGGAGGGGAATTGTTGCCCAGAAGTCACGCCAGTAGCATTATTATTATAATTAGGACCAATAATGGAATTTGAACAATTTCTATTGTTTCCAATAAGTGAATGATATTGAAACGTGGATGGATGTACCGTTAAAACATAGGAAAATCCACAGGCGTTGGTGGATTACTATTCACAAACAAAGAATTATTTCCCAAGTTATGGAATTTATGCGATCCATTACTACGTTGATGAAACAAAGGTGGTGTTCTATTCAAATGAGCATTTAACGATGCATCGGGATCGTTGTTGAAGTAGAATATAAGGACGGTTGACTTGTGCTATTCGAGGTCTTTTTCAAATTCGCAAAGTTGTTGATTACACCATAAGGCGGACATGAAAAGGATCGCGAACCATAGCTTCTGGAGATTTCTTGTTCTGACGATGATGGAAAAGTTGATGTTGACGTTGAATAATTTGAGTTTCTTTGAAAAAGAATAACCTGGGGGTTTAGACTTTGGGGTTATCAGCAAATCCGCGTTCAAAAGTGACATTGATTGAAGATGCTGTTGAGAATTATTCTGAGCTGCAAATGCTTTTCGATAAGTAGATACATGTAAAATAAAGAATATTACAGTACAAACTGTGGTG